ATTTTTGGATTTTCAAATTTTTAGGAGTGTGTAGATCTCTGGATCTTTAAATTTTCGGTGGCGTGGATCTTTAGATCCACAAAATTTTTGAGGTCTAGATTTCTAAATTCCAAAATTTTCAGAGGCCTAGATCTCTAGATCTCTAAAATTTCAGAGGCCTAGATCTCTAGATCCCTAAAATTTCAGAGCTCTGGATCCATAGATCCCCAAATTTTCAGAGACGTAGGGATCTCTAGATCCCCAAAATTTCAAAGGCCTAGATCTATAGATTCCCAAAATTTCAGAGGCCTAAATCTCTAGATCCCTAAAATTTCAGAGACCTAGATCTCTAGATCCCTAAAATTTCAGAGATCTGGATCCCTAGATCCCCAAATTTTTAAAGACGTAGAGATCTAGATTTCTAAATTCCAAAATTTTCAGAGACGTAAAGATCTCTAGATCCCCAAAATTTCAAAGGTCTAGATCTCTAGATCCCTAAAATTTCAGAGGCCTAGATCTCTACATCCCTAAAATTTCAGAGGCCTAGATCTCTAGATCCCTAAAATTTCAGAGGCCTAGATCTCTAGATCCCAAATTTTCAGAGCTTGGATCTCTAGATCCCCAAATGTTTGGAGACGTAGAGATCTCTAGATCCCTAAAATTTTGGAGATCTAGATTTCTAAATTCCAAAATTTTCAGAGACTTTGAGATCTCTAGATCCCCCAAATTTGGAGATCTAAATCTCTAGATCTCCAAATTTCCAGAGGCCTAAATCTCTGGATTCCCGAAATTCCAGAGCCCTAGATCTCTAAATCCCCAAAATTCCAAACGCCTAGATCCTTCGTTCCCCAAATTTTTATTAGCCTAGATCTCCGTATTCCCAAATTTTCAAAGGCCTAAATCTCTAAATCTCCAAAATTTCAGAGGCCTAGATCTCTAAACTTAGATCGCAGTTCTCCTACACAAACACGAACTCTCATTTTACCCTCATCTCACGCGATATTACACAGGATTAAACAATCCCGCTAAAATCTTTCGCTAACTCGACTAAATCACTCCACTTGACAGCGACATTCCATTCACGTGAATAAAGCAATCGTCAAAATTACACGACCGAACAACCATCACTCTCGAACAGCCATTCTCCGCAAAAAAGAATCCCCACAAACCAACTGTCCCGGATCGTTTCTAAGCAATTCGCCTCCAAGCAAACAGGAACAAGCCACTATTACTGAATTAATACCATCGTTCGTGTTTCTCCGACGCATGTGCAACTACGCTAATTGAAACGAGTGCAATTAGCGTTGAAGTTTAGTCAATTAAGGTAAATTGAACGCAGTTCAAGCTACGAAGTAATACAATTACCTTCGGCGATAAGAAAATTGCAGGTTGATGATCACTCTCTCCGACAGAGATTAGGTGAAATCCAGAAAACGAAACTTTCATCGTCCACAGTTTTTTAATCAAGCCCTCATTCTTCGTATTTCATCGACAAAATTCAGATCTATTAATTATCTTCCGGGAAAATATTGCACAAATATTTCCGCAATAATCCACAAAAGGACGTTCCTATAAATAATTTACCGACCTAATTTTCCTGGAATCTTTGCATCGCGTTAAAGTATGCTCCGTATCCTTTATCTAAATAAAATACTATTCTTCGTCGCCTGTCGGTTCCATTGTTCCCTGTAAATAATGTTCTCCCATTGTTTTCACACATTTCCAACAATTTTCAATTGTATTTCAGAGTCTCAATTCACTCTGAAAATACCTCACACTTTCCTCCAGTTTATTGCTTTCACCGAATCCTCTCTCTCTCTTCGATTTAAGGACACGTTCTTCATTTTCTCGCTGGCGTAATCACTTTTACGATTGCTCGTGTCGATTCCTTTTTCTCTTCTTCTTTATATGCTTCGATGTTGCTGTTAATTCGTTAATTTAGACACACGTGCCTGTTGTTGTTGGGATCGTGTTGCAACCTGGCGATTAAGTTAACTCTTAACTCGAGCAATTGAGACGGTAGAGTGTTGTTGCGTTTCCTTATCTCCGCCGTCATTATAGCCAGCGTGGAACTTTTGCCGGGAGAATTAGAAGCTTCTGGATCACGCGGTTAATTCTACCGAGTTTTGCGACTTGATCCTCTGTGCTCCGTGATGGAAACGAAGGAAAATATTCGTGTAGAAATAGAGTAGTAAGAAATTAAGAGCTATGGTAATTCTGTATTTTATTCTCACGCACGCTCTTTGTGGACTGAAGTTATCCAATGGTGCTCGGAAATACTCGTTGCATTTGTTACTTCGAGTGTCGTTTGTTTTACGTTAAAGGGGAATTTTGATTGCGAAATTATTTGTACCGTCGGAAATTAAAATTATGGATCGAAGAATATCGAATTTTCCTGGAATTTTATTTCTCCTCGCTGCTCATTTTCATTTAGAAGCCAAAGTGCCAAACTCCATGAATTTGTTTTATCAGCAAGCACGTGTTTTGATACTAAAATTGGGAGAGTATGGGAAAGTCGAGCGAGAATCATTTTGCCTTCTGAGAGGCTAAGAATTAAAATTTAATTTAATTTAATTTTACATTTAACGCACAGTACACCCTCTGCGTTTCTTTATGAAAAATGCCACGACGTTAATTCCGTTTCACCACAAAAATTCGTACACTTGTGAACGAAAAATTGGCGGCAAAATTGAGAGAGAAAAATAGGTTATAATTATTGAACGTTAGAGGTGAGGTGGGTGAGGAACGTCGTTACCCTCTTTTCACCTCAATTCATTAAAGTACAAATTTATGGTCGTATGGGGGTACAATTGGCCCAGAAAATACAATCGTTTGTTACTTGTCGCGGCGGCAGCGGTTCGGCGGGTACATCGCGATGGTCGGTAAAGAAGAAACTGTCCGGAGGTGTAGGCTTACTGGGTTTTTATATTGTTAGGACAGGGAGACAGGAGTAGCGATAGAAGTGGAGAAAGTGGTGGAAACGGAAAATTCGTTCGTCCTCGTGCGAACTTGGATGCCACATGCGTGCTTCTTAGGCCATTCGAGGACGAAGGCAAGTCTTAACCCCGGAGAGAGACAAAAGAACGGAAACTAAAATCTGAAGGAGTTGGAAAAGAGAAAGTTCGCGTGGAAGAATAGAACGAGGTTCGGTAAGGGTTTGTTGACGACGAAGTACCCGCCACAGAGGTATAGTTTAAACAGCTCCCCTTTCTCCACCGTCCCTTCTGTCTCAGTTGAAATACTTGACAACGAAAGGGAGGCGCGTTAATTGC